CCTAATCCCAGAGAAAGCAAGGGTTTATGTTTCATACAAAAGGCCTAACGAGAGAAGTGCCGTGTAAGATATCAAAGCTGCAGTTCCAGCCGAGTGCTCTGTGAACAGGGCCCGTCCCTGGAGAGCCGGCACTTGTTCAAAATCCCTCAGATGTCAATGGAACCGCCAAGAACCCTCTGTGTACACATCTGAAAAAGCACAGACCCACGCTCTAGTGCGAAGAGACGTTTAATGATATTCACCAAATTTTCTCTTCCTAATTATGGCCCGGGCAGACTTTATCAGTAGCCTAGATATACAAGCAGCCACTTGTGGAGAAGGTGGATATGAGTGGCGTTTAGCTGGAGCGCAAAAAGTCAATAATCAATCAATGCAAATAAGTCAATGTAAAACCACACACTTTGTGGGTTAATGAAATGTTACGTAACGTTAATTTAATGCATATCATACACAATTTAATCAACGTTGGTGCCATGTAAGAGTGTAATGACTTCAATACGGTATTGAAATGTTGACAGAAATTGATATTTTTTACCTTGTCAGTTCATGTCCTTGAGCATGTTAAGCACGATTCATCATATCTTATCATGTAAAAGAGAAAACTCTCGTAGGGCTGGCCTGAATAATTTGAATGCTTGGGTATTCATTCATTACATTGACATTTAATTCTCTATTTAATATTCAGAAGCCTCCCTTTTTTCCACTGGCCATTTAAGCTGACAGAGATCAGATGCATAAGAAATCATGGGAACACTTTGAAATATTCTGCAGTAAGAAAAATGCTCAGTGTAGATGCGCAGTGAGAGCCATGGAGCTACAACAAGGCTGATCATTTGATATTTGCTCATCTCAGTACTGTTTGTTGTGAGAGGTTTGGCAGTGCTGAAGGAGGAGAACAGTGGTAGCTCTCAGACAGATGAGTGGCGGATGAGTCTGTGGGGGCGGGGGGGTGGCGGTGTTCGAAGTTACCTGTTGCCACTCTAGCCTTTGACTTTTTAGGCTGTGGACCAAGAGCTGCATGAGGGAACTCAACCTGGCTGTGACTGAGCCCAATTCGGCCTGCATGTTGCTCTCTGAGCTGCTTTCCATGACAAAAAGAGCAAACTAGGCAGATAAAATGAAACAATATACAAGCGATAGAAGGGACTCAAAAAACTATATTTCAAAGATGAGCCATCAGTCACAGATTCTGTCACTAGCAACATGCAGCTGAGCTTCAGCTTGACTGTTTAGACACTGTTGCTGCCCGCTGAATATGTTTTAAACTGCAGTAACAGACACACTTACACCCTTACAAACACCGTGCTTGTGGGTATATTTTGGTTTTTCATCTGAATTTACATGCCCAAATCGTAAGGCAAATTATTCAGTAACTGCATGAAATAAATGTAAATTTGTGTTTTTTTTTGTAAAAGTTCCCCTCAAATTAACAGAACATGTGTTTATGATCATACACATATTGCTATATGCTTACAATTTACTGCTGAAAGCCAAAAATCTTAGATGGTCTTTGAAATTTTTTTTATAAAAATAATTTTTACTGAAGAGACGCCATCTGAGTTTTTAGCTCAGATTTGTGGAAAAATGGGTCGACTTTCAGTAGAAAAAAAAGTTGTGAGTTCAGCTTCTTTTATTACAAAGTTTTAAATTTACATTACACATCTATTTGACTGGAAAGAAGACAGTTACAGCTCTCATATGACACCCACCATTTGAATGAAGCTTATAAAATATGAAAGTTATGAAGTAAAGAATATGACGAAGTGCGTTTTGGAACCACTGGTGGTTCCAAGGAGTTAAAAAGATTAACATGTGGGGATAGTATGAGGGAAGACTGACTGAGGGAGGAGGGAGAACTCTGAGAACCTGGGCTGGCGTTCTGCATGGCTTCTGTCTGTAGCTAGAAGGCCAGACCCACCTTTTAACTGTGGTAGGACTGTTGTGGGACTGTGGTTGGGATTGTGAGAAATTCGTCACAGGGAGCAAAAGGTAAGGATGCGAATATATAAGGTGCTAGACTGGAAAGAGAAGTGGTGTCAAGCACGTATCTTCCCCCAAACCTTCAGTTATCCCATAACTCCATCTTTAATAAATATTTAGTTTTATCATTAACCATATATTTAAGGGTGCTTTTGAAAATGACTGTTTGAGTGCTCGTTCGTAAATACCTACCAATAGTCTAATCTTGTAAAATGCTGTTCAAGCCAGGCCTAAATTTTTCCCATAATCTTCCAAAAAAATGTATCGCCTTTTGCCCCACCTCTAAAACATTTTCCGTTTTTTTATGTCATCATTCATCAGCAGCATAAAAAAAAATAATAATAATAATTTACAATACTAAGAATTATAAGAATAAGGAAAATTACGAGCTTAATAAGCGCAGAGCTTCAGCAGACATGAGACTCTGGCTTTCTAATGACTCCTTAAAAAGCTGAGCGGTTAGAGTTGAAATCTGAGCCTATTAAATGCAACCAGATGACGAACTGCCAGTGAAACTGTTTGCTCCTAGCAGACTCTCTTTAACAGGTGTATACTTCATACTATCCTTACCTGGATTCTGCCCTCATTAGATTAGACTGAGCAGGTCAACAGAAAGCTAACCAGCTAAAAGGCTAAAAGTACAATAATATACATACATAATCTAAACCGCTTATCCTTCTGGGTCGCAGTGGGGTGCTGGAGCCCTATCCCAGCTGTCTTTGGGCAAAAGGGAGACATACTTATGCAATATACACCCTGGACAGGTCACCAGTCCATCGCAGGGCAGACAGACAGACATACTTATGCAATCACACACACATTCACACCTAGGAGCAATTCAACATTTGCAATTGGCCTGACTGCATGTCTTTGGGCTGTGGGAGGAAACCCACGCAGACACGGGGAGAACATGCAAACTCCGCACAGAAAGTACCCCGGTCGGGAATCGAACCCAGGCCCTTCTTGCTGTGAGGCATCAGCGCTACCCACAGCGCCACCATGCCTAGACTTCAAATTCAAGCCTTTAAAAAAGCATTGCTTAAAAACTGAGACAAACAAAGTACGGAATGTGATTTACATGCCTCTTACAAGCTAAAAATGTCCGTATTTAAACTACAGCTGAAAAAATTTCGTATAGCACAAAGCCAACCCTTCTAGCTTGATGCTAACATAGAATGTATGAAGAGCATTTTCAAAGTTCTGGTTTGGAAAACAGATTTCTCCATTAGACACTGCTGTGTAACAGCACTGCTTTATGGTTTTCTGCCTGTACCTGACTCTCACTGTAAACACATGTAAAAGGTTTAATAGAAATGACTTTATTGGTGTGAGTGATCAGTGTCGGTTATAAATAGGAGCCTCTGATTAAAGTGCTTCTCTCCTGCAGGTTCAGGTTTCTGTTGACAGATCAACTAGGCTACAAACACTTTCACACAAATATTTGAGCGTCAATACAATAAAGATTATTGACATGTTGATTTATTCCCACATCTCAAGCATGTTAGGATGTTATAAGCATTCAATGTCTATGTATGCTTCACTGGAGATTCTGTCCAGAAGTTACTTAAACCATCATGGGGTGCAGGAATAAGGTGGACGAGCCCCTCGTTCTCCTAAGAGAGTCTCTGATTGTGCCGTCTTTTTTGGAAACCACCAGCAATGATCATAACTACGCATTTAGGTACAACCTATCAGAGTAAAGAGGGGAGGGGAGGGGTGGAGCCTCTGCTGTAGACACACCCACACTCAAATGACTCAGCTTTTTTTCTGAAGAGCTTAGAAGTACGAAGTGTTGTAATTTTAGGGGTTTATTTTGTTAGAGATCAGCAGTCTTAAGTCTAAGACTCAAGACTCAAGATGCAATGCTGCCCAAGAGTCAGAGACCACTGTTAGTTTTATTTCATTTCCAATCAAAACAGCCAATAAGTACAAGTTATTATTTTTACATCATTAGAAACAAAAACAGAAAATTGGTCAGAAGCCTCAGCAATTAAATATAATATCAATGTTGTCAGTATTGACAGTGTGTACACACTTTGCCTTTATTACAGCTTCCATTCTTCTCAGGAGACTCACTTTCAGTTCCTCAAAGAATCTGCAGACACGCCTCCAAAGTTCAGTCAGTGCAGCAGCGTATAATATTGGGAGAGTCTATTCAACATAAATGATGAACTAACCTAACTTTGTGTAAATAGACCACAATATAGAAATATGTACACATATGCAGTTGTGACTGACGTGTCTTTTTTCTGAATTTACACAAACACATTTCATTTTATAGTAAATTTGTTTTTGCTAGTTTATGTTTACGAACAGAGACCTACAGATGCAGTTTAGTAAAGGAAACTCATTTGTGAATCTGAGTTTAAAGTTTTTATTAAACTTAAAATTGTAACTAAGTTGCAAATAAATCTTAAACCGAAACTTTGCTTGTTTGCAAAAAGCTATTTCAGAGCCACTCAGTTCTACCTAATGGAAATTGTTTGCCTTCAGTGTTTTGTGCTTATGATAATTTTAATAGACATCAGCGTCACTAATTAATGACATTCTATTAAAAGACTGGTGTTACAAGAGAGACACTGGAGTATTTTCACCTAAAATGAGTTGATAAAGTAAGTTTTGTTGCAAAAATGATAATAGGACATTAAAGCCATAATTAATCTTTTAGTACTTTCACTTTCGATACTTAAGTACATTTGATGGCAAATACTTTTGTACTTTTACTCAAGTGGAGGTCTAAAGGGAGAAACTTCTACTTTTACTGGAGTAATATTTTACCTTGGGTATCTCTACTTTAACTCAAGTACATGATGTCTACTTCGTCCACCACTGCTTATACTTTTTTGGCTGGAAACTAAATAAATCCCTTTTGCACAGTACTGTAAAATAGCAAAAATTGCATTACATCATAACGAACCTTATAAAATATCTATATTTTGTCTCATATTTGTTTATTTTTCACTTTCATTTGTTCCTCCAGTTGTAATGTTTAATTGCTTATTTATTCATGTTTCATGCAGGCCCTGCTATTCCAGTCGGAGTTGACGTGCAGGTAGAAAGCTTGGACAGTATCTCAGAAGTAGACATGGTAGGTCAAACCCTTTTTTACTTTCAGTATCATTAAACTCACCACTGCACTGATCTGGCGAGCGCTCAGGCGTCTTTTTGAATATTACATGTACCTCATTACTGATGTCATTTACATCTTTTTTTTATTTTATTACGATCACGTTTAATATTCTGTTGCTTGTTGCCTTCTTGTTGCATTGGATTGCGTAGTAAATAGTGCAAGCATCAGGCAGATGTTTCAAAGGCGGGAGACTGTTTGTTTGATGACAGTGCTTTGAGGATGTGTGAGGAATTCCGCTGTGCTGTTTACCCAAAACATTAACGATATATGACACCCGTGCTGCCTATGCATTTTTATTTTTGGATGAAGCCTCTGCGTGTGATGTAACAAAGACACTGAAGCGCCATCTTTCATCGTACATAATTACAGGCCACTCTGAATGTTTATGGTTACATAACGTCATTGAAGAATAGGGGGTTTATCTGCTTTAGTGATTTTGAGTTGAGTAAGTGTGGAGGATCAAGTGTTACATATACTGTCTGACCTCTGTCCAAAGCTTCTCTAAAAAGATGACATATTCATCTGCAAGGATTGTTAACTTGTTGTTTGTCGTGTGCTTTCACTGTCTAGGGCTGCACAATTGTTTGTTAATTGTCATCATTATGCTGGCTTTTGCAATAATATTATTGCTACAACATGCAAATGAGCCCTCTAACCAGTCAAGATCATAATATGTGCTGAGAGCATTCTGACCAATCGTAGCTCTAGATGAGTTTCTAGGGTTGTTTTGATCAATCAAGGTATACGTTCAATCAAATAAATGTAAATTATTTTGGCCAAACTAAAGCAGACCAGTTTTTAATGTCACACAATTAATTCACCAATGCAATTTTTTAAAAGGGAATTCCACAGATTGTTCAAAATCTCTGTATAATTAAGTGGTTTAGATGTAAACAGAGTCATTCAGAGTGGTTTGGTGTGAAACGCTCTGTTCTAGAGAAACTTACAGAGTCAGAACTGTTCACAGTGGTGGTGATAGGAACCAGACGTCCACCTCTCAAAGCTCCCTTACAGAAAGTTACTACATGAAATGGTTATGAATTCACTGCCTGATGTCTGAGACACTGTTTTATGAAAGTTCTGAGACAAGATTTTGAATTTAAATTGATTTTTAATGCATTTATGGAACAAAGGCTCATGTAGGCACTGTAAAGCAAAATATTCAGCAAAATATTCAATATTCAGTATTCAAGAAACGTGTAGGTCAGGGGTCGGAAACATGCGGATCTGGAGCTGCATGCGGCTCTTTTACTGCCCTGTTGTGGCTAAACAGCAGAATTAGATTAGTAGGTAAAAATAAAATAATCCTCCTTTACAGTAAAATAAAGCTCTGCTGATCGTTCAACACAGTTTAACAACAAATGGCGTCAAACATTGGAGTTATTGTATAACTGCTAATTCACCCTTTAACCCTGAATATCAGCACGCAGACCGCAGACCATAGCAATGCAGATACGAATCTAGCCTAGCTAGTAGCTAACGAAACAGGCAAAGAGAAAGATTTAAGATGGACATCGATAATTTGGAGACGAATGAACTTACTTGCATTTATAATCACTCCAACTGGTTTCCTGATACGTTTAATCTGCAACGAGAAACTATCAAACACTAAAAAGTCACAAAGCTGAAGTCAGTTTCTCATTCGCCAGTTTCTTATTCACATTTTCCCGCTCCACCTTAAATGGTGCCGCAGTTACATTCTGGCGCCTCAGGCACCATTTAAGGTGGAACGGGAGAATTTGAACAAGAAACTGGCGAATGAGAAGCGACTTCAGCCTCGTAAAAAGTCAAACATTGAGACATTTTACAAGAAACTATTTTGTTTTTGAGGAAAACTTTCCTGCTGGAGATGCGAGAAAAAGCAGCTATAGCTGAGCTAAAGCTTAAACCAGAGCCAAGTAAGTCTGCGTTTTTGTTTAGATTATACTTTTAGCCTAAACTAGTACATCAGCACAGACTGAGACATATTTACAGCCAAGATTTTAAAATGGGCATAAAATGCTGTGGCTCCCAAAGTGGTTGGATTTTTGTTGAAAGGACAGAATTAACATTTGGTGTAAATTCACTGTGGTGTAGGTTCACTAGTCATTTCAGATGGTAAAAAAATGGCCATTTTTTATCACTACCACTATAAAGACATCTGAGACAGTAAATTTCTCTACAATTAACCATTTCACATCAAACCACTCTGAATGACTGATATCCTAACTATTGACTTCTAAAGATGTTTTGGAAAATTGGTGGAATTCCCCTTTAATATGTTTTATATATACTGTCACAATTACTCAGTTACTCAATTTTTATAAAAAAAATAATTAAAATTTACCTTCTTCTCAATGAGTCAGCGATGAATAGTTGGTCATTTACATGATGATAATTTATGTTTTAAATTCTCCTACTGTTCTCTCTTACAGTAGGAGACAGTCTGATAAACACACCCATTTATATGCACTTATATGCCATATGGTGTTTTAATACTTTATGCATGGTTTGCTATTGTTAAGCTAACTCCATTTACTTATTTTGCCTTTTTGACAACTCTGATTACTCGATTAATCATTAAAATTATCGGGAGATTTCTTGATTATTGCTGTAATCAAGTATTGTGTCCATGTCGTGCAGCCCTGGTGTGAACTATGATGTGTGGATTTGTGAGTGAATTCACATTGTAAAGGTTGCTGCTCTCATTGTGTAGGACTTCACCATGACCTTATACCTTAGACACTACTGGAAGGACGAGCGTCTGTCCTTTGCCAGCACCACAAACAAAAGCATGACCTTCGACGGCCGTTTGGTGAAGAAGATCTGGGTACCTGACGTGTTTTTTGTGCACTCAAAGAGATCCTTCATCCATGACACCACCACAGAGAACATCATGCTGAGGGTCTACCCGGATGGCCATGTTCTCTACAGCCTGAGGTGAGAAAGCATGTATTTATACGTTCAAATGATTTATTATGCTGCTGAAACTTTCTGTGTTCACTGTCAGACAATATATGTGAAACTTCGCACATTGAATCTGTTACAGTCATTTTACACTGTTTTTATTTTTTTGTAATACCCTGTTAATTAAACCTACATACTAAATATATTGTTGCTTTTGGGACAAAACCTTATCTCCAAAAAGATAACATTACCGGAGAAATGAAAAAACCTTCTTAACTTTGAATAGGAGTCAATGGTTAATTGCTAATAACACCTTTAGATTGCGGCGCTGAGCGATGTTTGTTTATTTGATGTTTGTTAACGACGCCTTTAGAGGGCGGCGGCGAGTAATGTTTGTTTATTTGATGTTTGTTAACAACACCTTTAGAGGGCGGCGGTGAGCGACGTTTGTTTATTTGATGTTTGTTAATGATGCCTTTAGAGGGCGGCGCTGAGCGACATTTGTTTATTTGATGGTGGTTAACGACGCCTTTAGAGGGCAGCGGTGAGTGACATTTGTTTATTTGATGGTTGTTAACGACGCCTTTAGAGGGCGGCGCTGAGCGACGTTTGTTTATTTGATGTTCGTTAACTATGAAAATTTAACTTCATAACATGAAGCTTGTGAGCTGCCTATATATGAGATAGACCAGTCATAAGCAACCAAACACCCATGTGCTGTGACATCATAACCACAGCTAACAGTCAGTCAAGTCTAGTGCTCTGTGTTCAGTGTTTAAGCCTCAGGCCAGATTTTCCGGTCTTCTTGGTGAAAATAACAGGCCTGTGGTCAGTTGAATAAAACATCTTAAGTGAATTTTGGCCGTAGGTTTTCCGTTTATCTTAAGTGAGTGTCATAAGATTTGAACTGTGAATTGAATTTTAGACCATACGCTTTTAAGTTTCAGCACTTACAAAGTTGGCTGCTTAAGCATATAATTTAGGATTAACACTTAAAGGGGAATTACATTGCTTTTTCAAAATTTGATGTAATCAAACAATGTAAACAGTCATTCAACTGTAACTGTTGTGCCGTTTTTTGCCTTTTGTTTGTTTGGTTTTCTTGGTTTCCCAGCGCCATGTGTTTTTGTTTGTCTGCCATGTGCCTCTGTTTTCTTGTGCCATGTGCCTTTGTTGTTGTTTTGGTCTGTCTCCTCCCTGGTCCTGCCCCCTCGTCATCTGCTCCACCTGCCGTTAGTCTGTAGCCCCACCCTCTTATTAGTCTCAGGTGTTTCTTGTTTCCCCTCAGTGTATTTATACCCCTGTGCTCAGTTCCTTTTGCTGTTGTCTGTTTCTCTGGTTTAGTTCTGTTTTAGTTCTTAGTTCTGTTTTCTGTCCTTAGTTTTGTGTCACCTTGGATTTATCTTATGTACCTTTGCTACTGAGCTTCTGGACTCTCTTAAGTCTGATTTAAATAAAAGCAACTAGCTCTTGCATCCAGCCTCTTCACCTTCAATGTTACATCAGTGTGGTTTGACATGAAATGGTGCATTCATTTCTTTATAGTGGGGGGCTACAGTGCGAAACCACCAGTGAACCTACACATATCTTCTTCTAATGCTGGTAAAATAGTGATAAATCTGAAAAAGTTTACATCTGGGACTATTTTGCCCCATAACACAATGATTACACCTTTCTGCAAGTAACACATTAAAAAAAAACATTTTAGGCCAAAATCTTATCTCAAAATAAATATAAAACAAAGTCTCAGACATCAGTGTAGTATTCATAACCATTTCATGTAGTAACTTTCTGTGAGAGAGCTTTTAGAGGTGGACGTCTGGTTCCTATCACCACCACTGTGAACAGTTCTGACTCTGTTGTTTTGGTATATTTTATTATATATCTTTACTTCTTCTATTTATGCATCTGTTTTAATAGCGTAAGTAAGTTTCTCTACAATGGGGCATTTCACACCAAACCACTCTGAATGAACTTGGTCTTAAATATTTAGTTATGCAGAAATTTGGTAAAATATAAAGCCATAAATATAAAGAAATAATCCCATTTTAAATTGCGGTCACAGTGTTGGTCATCAAAATAGCAATAAGGTATTTTCCCCAAAATCGTTCAGCCCGACTGCTAAGACGTGAAAGACACATTAGGCTGTACATTAATAGTTAAATATAAACAAAGAAAGAGAATTAGATGTTATGATTGTGCCAGGCTTGCTTTGTGTTTGTTATTATAATTTGTTTATGTGTGAATCAATTCATATCAAGACAAACTTATCTTGAGTGCACCATATGCGACACTTTTTGTTGATTTGTGAAAATAAGTGAACACATCCTCCAGAGAAAACACACTTCTGCACATTTTATTGCACAATTGCTGTGCATTTGTCTGTTTTAACCATTTAACAAAATGTGCCGACGTTATGGCACATTTTATATTTTAAGCTTATTTTATCCCCAATATAATAATAATAAAATAGAAGCTGTGCAAATAAATGTGCAATAAAGCAACATAGTTAAGTGTGTTCTTTGCAGAGGATGTGTTTACTTATTTTCACTATAAAATGTGTAATTTAAACAGGGCTTCTTCAAACTTTAGCATGCAAATGTGTGACGTGTAACACAGTAAACAGACCAGACAAATCGCCCCTTTGAAATTATAAGGATTTATCTGACATTTTTGGCAAAATTGAGTTTTCACATATTCTTATTCTGTGACTTCTTAACATTATGTGAGGTGTTTTTATGCATTTTTGGACTCTTTATCCAGAAAACAACAAGGTTCTATTTCCAAACTCAAACTCTAACTTAGTTCTATAAGGTTCTATCTGTGAGCCAGTCAGCACTTCAAATACACACAAGAGGACCAGTCAGGTTCTGCTTCTTCGTCACGTCGCTGCTCTGCTCGGTGACTGCAGGAATAGTTTTTAAAGCTTTATGAAACATGAAAACATGTTGCTGAAACTCTGTCTGTCTTCTTACACGTCTTTAAAAAAGTTTTATTATCTTAAATAATAATAATATTTAGATAATTCAATAGCATATGTTTGAATTGATGGGGTCTTAATTACAGCATAAACATTAATTTCATTCATTCATCCATCTCTGCTTTTTCTTCTTTCTCCCAAAATTTTGGCTCATTAGAGCCACAGTTTCTGATACAAAACAAAACCTCACACAGCCTTTAGACTCACCTGCTACACTTACTTGCTGGGACAGTAGCTCCTGTCTTAAGCTAGAGGAAACTCAAACTAATGGTTTGTACCTCAACTTGACCTCTGCACTGGACAAAATATTTAGCACTGACCTTCATATTTAATCTGCAATTCTTTTTTGGAAATGAAAATAATAATCTGTCCTAAAACAAGAATTAAATATCATATAAAATAAATAAATAATACAAATGTCATAGAATGCATTAAATTGAACTTTCTGATACACATAGACACTCTATTACAACTCTAATTCTGTGTTTAATGAACACATTACAAGTAAACTGTTTGTGTTCCTTGAAAATCGTCGCTTCTTTTCATGTTTTGCCAGATACAACCTTATAACTCCAAGCAGAAGGTGGGTTCTTAGGATTAGAAGGTTCTATCTGTATTTCACCTCTTCCAAAAAACTAATTTACAAATTTGATAGGTTTTTGATGTTGTACATTTAAAATAAATTTAGGGTTTCCGTCATTTTCATGTTTCTTGTTCCACATCAGTTTTGCTATTTGAAAGGCAAAACCTCAAAAAGAAGCTCAATATCTCAAAACTGCTCAGAACACAGACAGAACCTTATAATTCCAAGGGGATGAAATATTCAAGAGAACATATGACAATAAGAATGAATAGAATAGAATAGAATAGAATAGAATAGAATAGAGAGAAAAGTCTAAAAGAGCCTGTGAGTGTATGCTGAGTGATTATGTAATTATGCTAATTATAGTATTTCATATTCAGGTTAGTGTACTGCAGCTGTGGGTTCAGTGCAAAAGGGATGAATTTAGAGGTCAAACAGTAATTCTGCTTTACATTATGGGACCTAATTTGCTGACCTGATTTATAAAACTATATGTAGGTACACTGATGCTGACCTGAAGGTCGTGTAGCGACCCTCACACTAGGCTTGCAGCTACGGCATCTATTAATTGTTCTGGGACGTTTTCTGCTTGTAAAAAGGCGAGGCGTGTCCTGCAGCGGTTTGGTTATATTACATTTGCATACTGCTGTTGCATTAAAATTAGAAAGAAGCGCTGGCGGCCTGTGATGTTGTTGTCGTGCCTGTGTTGATGATGCGAGGGAAGAATTAGGCCGAGCTACCTGAGTGCGCAGCTGTAGCGTTGAGGGGTAGCGCTAAGTTCAAAGTCAAATTTCAGGCTGGCTGTACTTGCTGCAGGGGGAGTGTCATTATTGATGGGCCTGGCCTACTTTAGTTGTGCTGTCTGATAAGAACCGGACAGCGCTGACTGTGGGACTAGCTAACGGCTTCTCCCACAGAACAGAGCAGGAGAAAAACAGGCACCGGTCGCAGTTTGATGAATAATGCATGGGCTGTTCGCCTCTCCTGCCCTTTATCTCACTTTACCCTTCATTGCATCCCTTTACGTCAATTAGAATCGACACCTCGGGGACGTGTGCTTTGAACATGTGCGTATTGGGACTGTCACGATTACACTGTTTAAAAAATGTCATTGATTAAAAGTTACCATCTCAAAGAATTGGCAATGATTAGCTGGCAACTGGCCAAAAAGGGACTGATCAACTTTCTCATTTATATGCATTTTTTACCCTTTTACACTCCTAAAGTAAAGTTGGCAAAAAGAGTTATTTGTGCAGTGCCATAGGGAAAACCACTTTTGGCTCCTTAAAGAACTTTGGAATAATGGTTCTTCAGAGGCATCTATTTTTAAATTAATATTTATTATTAATATTTTACACACAGACATGCACATATATATATCGCTGTTGTTGGAAGAAAACCTTGTATCTCCAAAATGGTAACTTTACAGGAAAAGGAAAAAAACTTACTTTACTTTTAATGTAACTCAATGGAACCAGACGTCTTTCCAAGTCATTTTGGGCCGTTTCTTTTGGTCCATTCATCATGAAATTCACACACAATGTAAAGAGCAACAGGTATTTTCAAATTATATCAAAAACTGAAAAACCACAAAAATGTACACAAATCAGCCATAACGTTAAAATCCTTGTTTCTACACTCATGTCCATTTCATCAGCTCCACTTACTATATAGGAGCACTTTGTAGTTCTACAATTACAGACTGTAGTCCATCTGTTTCTATGCATACTTTTTTACCCTGTTCTTCAATGGTCAGGACCCCCACAAGACCACCCACAGAGCAGGTACTATTTGGGTGGTGGGTCATTCTCAGCGCTACAGTGACACTGACGTGGTGGTGGTGTGTTAGTTGCGCTGGTATGAGTGGATCAGACACAGACCTATATAGTAAGTGGAGCTGATAAAATGGACAATGAGCGTAGAAACGAGGAGGTGATTTAATGTTATGGCAGATCAGTGTTTAATTCTTATATTAAAAAAATATAATAATTCTACACTTTTAAAAGGGTTTTTTGATTAATATCATAGAATCATAGAAGAACCACTTTTGGTTCCCTAAATAACCTTTCTCTCTATTCTATGGGTTCTTTAGAGCCGTCCATTTTATATATTAGAAAAATATAAACAGTCTACACTCTTAATAAAGGTGCCACAGGGTTCTTTTTGAGCAAAGCTTTTTGGTTTCTCCAAAGAACCACATTTGAAAATGAGATGTGTGAAGAACTTCAAACTCCACATAATGTAAAGGATCTAGAAAGAACCCTTTAATGGGAATAGAACCTATACATTATATGAAGGTCCTTTAAACCTTCATCTCATTCACATCTCATTTTCAAGCAAGGTTCAATAGGGAACCTAGAGTGGTTCTTTTGTAGTAGTCTTCAAGGCTTCTGAAGTATTCTCTAATCTTTGAAAGGCTCTGCGTGGTTTGTTGTTCCTCCCTGACGTCTATTTTTATTGTCTGGCCTTTTTAATATACTCTGATTACTCAGTGAATCATCTAAATAATCAGTAGATTACTAATATAATTGACCATGATAACCATAATACATATATCTTTGAGTTCAGTGAGTTAGCTGTAACCTCTTTATGTGTATCGTGTGTTTCCTGTTGCCAGGGTGACGGTTACAGCCGCTTGTAACATGGACTTCAGCCGATTTCCTCTGGACTCTCAAACCTGTTCTCTGGAGCTGGAGAGCTGTGAGTTTTTTTACTGACCTACACAATATGTATTCACTTCACTGGCCGCAGGCAGGTCCAGCTATTCAAGAACCTCTTCACACACACGCTGGTCCAAAAACCTCCTACATATGTATAACCACTTTCATCTGCTTATGAATTTTACAAGGAAGGAAACATCCACACAAGCTGTCAGCTCTTAGTCCACGTGTTTGAATTTTGCAGTGTGAGTGGGTTAACATGTATTCAAAATGGTTTAGGATAGAAAAGACATCACTAGGACTTTGACTAGTTAATATTAGATTGATTAAAACCTCGAATTATTTATTGTAATCGCCATTATTAATAACAAAGCCTCCCTTGCATCAGCTCCAAGGGGGTCCTGGACCACTAAGAGCCACTGCTGTAAATTATAAGTCTGTTATGTTTATTCAGTGAGTAGATATTCAGTCTTTTTGCTGAAGCTGAGTGCTGTTTTTCAGATGCCTACACAGATGAGGATCTGATGCTGTACTGGAAGAGCGGGGACGAGTCTCTGAGCACGGACGACAGGATCTCCCTCTCGCAGTTTCTCATCCAGAAGTTTCACACTACCTCTCGTCTGGCTTTCTACAGCAGCACAGGTACGACAGACATGGGCAAAGTACAAGACTTCTGCACATGAGTAACAGTAAAAGTGCTACAGATGCACCGATATGGAATTTCTGGGCCCGATACGATAATCGATGATACTTTATTGTGGTTGACACCGATATTTTAAATTATGTTAATGCATTAATTAGTTTAATGTTTTACATTATTTTATGTGTATATTTTACATTATTTAGCAGAAACTCTTATATAAAGTTATTTTACAAAAATTTGTGACTAGATATACAGTTGTATGCAAAAGTTTGGTAACCCATGCTCAAATGACATGTTTTGTTGATTTTCTGAGTGTGAATTAGTCAACACATACAAATACAGAGAACATACAGAGAACATACTTCTGCACATTTTAATGCACCAATACTGTTTATTTGCTGAATTAAACACACTGAAAAAAAATTAAAACATAAAATGTGGCCTGTCCATAAGTTATGGCACATTTTGTATTTTATTTTTTTCCAATATGTTAAAGAAATAAATACAAACTGTGCACTACTGAATAAATAGATACATAGAAATTATGTTGAAAGCACGCTGTAATATTCCCTTAAACTAGTTGTTGTACTCGTTGTTTCCTATAAAACTTGGCATATTTACGATTTAAAATTGTCTAAAATATTTATAATATTTCCATCATTTATATTAATATGACAAGCATTTTCTTTTGAATAGTAGTGTTAAATACATAAACAAAGACATTCAGAGTGGTTTGATGTGAAACGGTTCATTGTAGAGAAACTATCCAAATACTCTAGTAAACCTACATCTGTCTTCTGAGAGTTTATGTCAATTATTTATATATGTAATATTTATATAATGTTTATGATGGTAAAATAGTGGTAAATCTGAAAAAAGATCTTTATATTTGTCTTACAACGCCCTGCATGTACTTCTCAGCCATGAAAAAATAAAAAAATATATGTTTTAGGACCAAAACCTTCTCAAAACTATCATACAAAACAATGTTTCAGGCATCAGGCAGTGAATTCATAACCATTTCATGTAGTAACTTTCTGTGAGGGAGCTTTTAGAGGTGGACGTCTGGTTCCTATCACCACCACTGTGAACAGTTCTCACTCGGTAAGTGTCTCTAGAACAGAGCATTTCACACCAAACCACTCTGAACGACTCTGTTTACATATTAACCATTTAATCATGCAGAAATGAAGAAAAAATGAATTTTCACTTTCCGCTTCTGTGTGGGCAGAGACTGAGTGTGTGTGTAACAGATTGAGCCTGTGTGTATAACAGATTGAGTCTGTGTGTAACAGATTGAGTGTGTGTGTGTGACTGTTTGCTTTGATCTGATCTGTGTGTTTGTTCTCTCTCCTCAGGCTGGTATAACCGCCTGTATATTAACTTCACTCTGAGACGCCACATCTTCTTCTTCCTACTGCAAACCTACTTTCCAGCCACACTGATGGTCATGCTGTCCTGGGTTTCCTTCTGGATCGACCGCAGGGCTGTGCCGGCCAGAGTCTCGCTCGGTAAGGCTGTGAATACAAGGCATTAACTCTTTAAAGCAATGCTGCAGCTTTTTTATCCTAGTCTCTATCTGCTGCATCTGCAGCATCATTGTATTATAAAAATATGTCGCTGCTGTGGGAACAAAACCTTGTATCTCCATTTTTGTCGTTTTTCAGTTTTTGAGATGATTTGAAAATGCCTGTTGCCCTTTACATCATGTGTAAATTTCATGATGAATGGACCAAAAGAAATGGCCCAAAATGACTTGGAAAAACATTCTGGTTCCATTGACTTACATTGAAAGTACAGTAGGTTTTTTCCTTCTCCTGTAAAGTTACCATTTTGGACATACAAGGTTTTGTTCCGACAGCAGCGATATACTGGTTATACTTATATCAGAAGTCAATGGGTATTTGCTTTCTGCTCATTGGCTCCCAAACAGTTTTTCCAGGAAAATTTCTGTCCATTGACTACATGCAACAGATGCAACTAATAGCGATTAGGTTGAAAATTGCGTTCCTTTAAGCTGCAGGCTTATTATTTAATTATTCATCTTAAGATTTATTATTCAGTAACTACTATATGTGTTATTTGGTAACTACTAGGGCTACAATATATTGTTGATGGTTATTGTTAAATGGTTCTTTGCATGGTCAAATCGTTCTTCAGATTAACGGAGGATGTGTTTTACATGGTTCTATACAGAACCTTTTTGAAAAGGGTTCTAAGTAGCACCATCAAAAGGGGTTCTTCTGTTGTTATGATGTCAAGCTTATTACAATGGAGGAACCCTTTTTTGGTTCGATATATAACCATACACAGCTTATTCTCCATCAATCTGAAGAACCGTTTCATCTGCAAAGAACGCTTTAAGAATGCAAATGGTTCTTTGAGCATTCATGGTTCTATATAGAATCGTTGTCTTTAATAAAGAATCCTTAAAGAACCTTTTTTTAACCCACTTAAAATATCAGGCTTATTACATGCTAAGGCTTATTATCCAGTAACTACACTCTCAGAAATAAAGGTAGTAAACTGTCACTGGTGCAGTACCCCTATTGTCACTGGGGTGGGACCCTCAAGGGTACATCTCAGTACCTTTAGTCAGGGAACACAACTGTACCATAATCCACTGAAATGATATGCTCTAAGCTGTACTGACTCCACACACCCCGTCTCGTCTCCAGGCTTTTATTTTACTGTTCTGTTTTAAAACATTCGGTTATGAAAAGGTACAAATACGAAAATTTTCACCTGGAAAAACCTATTTAAGGTTCACAGCTGAACCTTAAATCCACTGTTGTACCTTTGAGGGAACATTTAAGTTGTTTGTACCTTGATGAATGAAAAATGTACCTGCATAGAGCCTTTATTTCTGACAGTGTACAGGGACTTCAATGTGAACTAGCTGAGCTATTCTTATAGAAGTGTGTAATAAAACTGGCCATTGAGGGGGTTAAGATTATACTGATATCACAGAGGCTGTGATATGCAAATGAGAATTTTTTTCACTGTGTGCTGTGAGCATCCTGAATGACCTCAGAAGCTCCAGTCTAGTTTGTCTGGGTGTTTGGATGAATCGCCGGGAAAAGTGTAATGCCTGGCTCACCCAAATCAGACCTGAGTTATAAGCCAATCATAGCAGACATTCACATCAGTCAAGCCCCCCATTTCAATACCAAGCCCTCGTCCACTTGGCCTGGTCATTTCATGCCATTTTAAGGGTTGTTACATTACTTTATTATCTAAACTGAATGGTGTTATATGAGTCCTTGGTGGGGCCTGAGACCGACTGGACACCATTGCTGCAATAAACTACTTTAAAATGCTTAACAATTCAAAACCACAATGTTCAATTTGCTGGGCTTTAAGTTATAAACTACACCACCTATTATTCATGACTCGTGACACAACTTCATCACTTTCCTCTGCTGTCTGGCTCGTTAGCATGCTAAAAGGCTACACAGCTGACAATAATGCAAAAGTTTGGGCACCCCTGCTCAAATTCCATGCTTTGCTGATTTTCTAAATGAAAATAACTGAACACATCCTCTACAGAGAACACATATTTCAACTGTTCATTTACTGAATTTAACATATTGGGAACATAAAATGTGGCCTGTACAAAAGTTATGGCACATTTTGTATTTTCCATTTTATTTTTTTCCAAAATGTTAAACAAATAAATATAAATTGTGCACTACTGAATAAATAGATAGATAGAAATTATGTTGAAAACTTGCTGTAATATGTTGAAAGACCTTGTCCACTTGGCCTGGTCATTTCATGCCATTTTAAGTATAGTAAGTATTTATTTATTTATAAAGCACATTTAAACCCAAAGTGCTGTACAAAGGGGGTGTGTTTAGGAAAAAAATATAAATAAATAAAGAAATAAATAAATAATTAGGTAATTTATTTTTTTAAAGGTTGTTCCATTACTTTAATAGCTAAACTGAAGGGCTTTAGATGAGTCCTTGGAGGGGCGAGGGACCGACCGGACACCATTGCTGACTTCAGCAGTAGAACGTGCCCAGAAATCATTGTGACTATGCATTTCCCTTTTCAAACCCGAGAATATTGGCAGACAAAGCTGTTTATAAACAGTAGCAATAAACTACTTAAGATGCTTCAAAACCATAATATTCAATTTGCTGGGCTTTAAGTTATAAACACCTCCACCAGCTGACAATAACAAGAAAGGCACTATTCCAAGTTTATAACCAGACAAAGCCAACCTCTCTAACTTCTCAAACAAATGTTTTGCACTGCAAAGTTTGCATGGCTAGCCGATTAGCTCACTGAGGCTAATCAAGCCGGGGGCGTAATTAAATCAGCAGGAAGAAAGAGTGCAGTTTGTGTGTGTCTGTGTCACCCATAGCGCTGAGTTGTCTTCTCACAGTGGAAGGATGGACAGAAACACCTGTGGATGTTTTCAGATCTGAAGCAGCTTGATTTTCTCCTCTCTCTCAGAGATGAAAGCTTTAAGTGCTGTTTATCTGATGGGGGCAGTTTTTGGTGTCTCTTGGGTCATGCATGGTCCCATTTTCCCTGTATCTTTTAACCATTTCCCTCCTGAAAATGAATAACTCGTACTTTTGACTGTAAATGAAATGGTCTCTGACTTTTGCACTCAGCTGTAGTAACTACTATGAAACTAATGTATAGGTTGTTTAGTTAAGAGAATGAGAAACTGAAATGTGGACCTTCTCACAGACTCCTGCAGTTTAAGGGGTTAAACACGGGCAGGACTCTTGATGCTGCAGGGCCCGGTTGTGCAGATTTTAACAGCATGTGTTGATCTCACCCAGGCATTACCACGGTGCTCACCATGTCAACTATCATCACCGGAGTGAACGCCTCCATGCCCAGAGTCTCCTACATCAAAGCTGTGGACATTTACTTGTGGGTCAGCTTTGTGTTCGTCTTCCTGTCTGTGCTGGAGTACGCGGCGGTCAACTACCTATCCACAGTGCAGGACAGAAGAGAGCGCAAAATCAGAGAGAGAGTCAGAGAACAGGTAATGATGAAGGAGAGCTAATAATACAGTAATAATAATATACACTTACACACTGCATTGTTATTAGATCAGATGTTTCCCAATCATGGTCCTGGAGTCCCCCAGATCTGCATTAGTGTTTTCCTCATCTGACATCTTCATTTAAGTCTCACTGAAGTGATATTTTGGCCTGTTGTCCCCTCAAACGTAATTGATCAGCAAAGACATGTTTAGTGTCTGAAATGTACTTTTTTAGTTTGGCACTGGAACTACGAGGCTAATGTGGCTAGCAAGTAATGCAAGCTGATAATCCATCTAACTACACGCCTGAATCATTCCACAGTTGCCTCAGACTGTGTTGAGTTGTTAATTAAGTTTTTATGAGGATGTAAATTTAGACAGTCATCGTCTGCAAAATTGTCAAGATAGACAATATTGTTGTGATCCAAATAGAGGTTCAAGAACTGCATGTCAGTGTTGCAGAGCCTACATCTTGCACTTTCCCTGATAGAAATATAATTACCATATAATAGCCAGCTGAGCCAGCTTCTAATATTACTTAATCATTTATAACAATAACTGTATTCAGTGTCCTCCGGGTACTCCGGTTTCCTCTCACAGTCCAAAGACATGCAGTCAGGCCAATTGGACACACTGAATTGCCCCTTGGTGTGAATGTATGTGTGATTGTGTGTGTATGTCTGTCTGCCCTGCGATGGACTGGCGACCTGTCCAGGGTGTATCCTGCCTTCTGCCCGATGACAGCTGGGATGGGCTCCAGCACCCCACCGCGACCCAGAAGGATAAGCGGTTTAGATGATGTGTGTGTGTGTATGTGTGTGTGTGTGTGTGTGTGTGTGTGTATTCAGTGTTAACATCCAGTGGCTGTCCATGTTCGCTTGGTTGGAGATCACAATATTTCCAAATTAGCATGTCGCTATAATGAAAGTACAACCCCATTTCCAAAACAGTTGGGACGCTGTGAAAAATGTAAATAAAAACAAAATGCAATGATGTGCAAATCATTTAGACCCGATATTTCATAAATCACTGCATGGGCCCAGAAAAACTTCTGAAAAACACTGTCTATGAAAACAGTTCATTGCTGCATCCACAAATGCTATTTAAAACTCTTAAATGCAAAAAAGGAAACCATATATAAACAGGATCCAGAAATGCTGCCACCTTCTCTGGGCCCGAGCTCATTTAAAATGGACTGAGGGGGAAGTGGAAAAGTGTCCTGTTGTCCGACGAATCAACATTTGAAATTTTTTTGGAAATCATGGACACTGTGTCCTCCAGGCTAAAGACCACTCAGCTTGTTATCAGTGCACAGTTCAAAAGCCAGTGTTCATGATGGTGTAGCGGGGCATTAGTGCACATGGCATGGGTGACGTGCACATCTGTGAAGGCACCATTAATGCTGAACAATATATATGTGTTTTGGCAACATATGCCGCCATCCAGACGACGTCTTTTTCAGGGAAGTCTTTGCTTAGGCAATGCCAAACCACATTCTGCATGTATTACAACAACATGGCTCCATAATAAAAGAGTCTGGGTGCAAACTGGCCTGCCTGCAGTCCAGATCTGTCACCGTTGAAAACGCTTGGCACATTATAAAATTAGAAATATGACAAAGGAGCCCCTGAACTGATGAGCAGCCGAAATCCTGTAGCAAACAAGAATGAGAAAACATTTCACTTTCAAAACTACAGCAGTGTCTCCTCAGTTTCCAAACGCTTACAGAGTGTTGTTAAAGAAGAGGTGATGAAACACAGTGGTAAACAGGCCCCCATCCCAACTTTTTTGGAACGTGTTGTTGGCATCAAATTCAAAATGGGCATATATTTTTCAAAAAACAATAAAATTTCCCAGTTTCAACATTTGATTTGTTGTCTTTGTGCTAATTTCCATTAAATATATGGTTTTAATGATTTGCACATCATTGAATTTTGGGTTATTTACATTTTGCATGGCGTCCCAACTTTTTTGGAATTGGGGTTGTACATTGTTACGTATGACATACTGTTATCTATACAGCTACATCTAACATGGACAAAAGTACATAACATGGCTAAAATCAGTTGTTGTGCTCATCTTGAAGGCTGAATTCTGTCTGTACTTTTATGCGTAACAGTGTATTGTCATCACATTAGTAAGCCGTTGGTGTGGTGTTACAGTAGAAAAACACTAAAATATGAAGGGCAGGGATTCCAGGAACCGGATTAGGATGACGTCAGTGAATTACTCAACTAATAACTGTTGACTCTCAAACAATAATTTGCTTTCACTGAGATGCATTGATCTCCCGCAGTCAGAGTGCTCTCTGACTAAAGGTGGGCAAAATGGCAAAAATTTTACATCACAAGATATTTCCACACTACAATATATACAATAAGCATATGCAAAATTTTGTTGTTCTGAAGCAGAAATGGACAAAAAGCACCAGCAAAACACCAGAGTCACATTTAAGAAGACAAAATAGATCCCATCAGCTTCTTGTGACTAAACAGTTACTGCACTCGTGGTTGCTGTTTGCAGGCTCCCTGTAATTGGTCTAAATCTGTCTTTTTATGATCCATGCACTTGTTCAGTGTTCTAGAAGTGCTGACTAAGGCTTTTGACATAATTTATCACAATGTATGACACATCTTAATGTTGCCCACTGCTTCTCTCTTAAGGCTACAACACCCTGACCTAATAAACACCAACAAACACTGACACTCTAGTGTTGACACAGCATTCTAGAAGAATGTGAATGGAGCTCCCCATTCTAGAAGAGTGTGAATGTGGTTCCACATTCTAGAAGAGTGTGAATGGAGCGCCACATTCTAGAAGAGTGTGAATGGAGCTCCCCATTCTAGAAGAGTGTGAATGTGGTTCCACATTCTAGAAGAGTGTGAATGGAGCTCCACATTCTAGAAGAGTGTGAATGGAGCTCCCCATTCTAGAAGAGTGTGAATGTGGTTCCACATTCTAGAAGAGTGTGAATGGAGCGCCACATTCTAGAAGAGTGTGAATGGAGCTCCACATTCTAGAAGAGTGTGAATGGAGTTCCCCATTCTAGAAGAGTGTGAATGTGGTTCCACATTCTAGAAGAGTGTGAATGGAGCGCCACATTCTAGAAGAGTGTGAATGGAGCTCCACATTCTAGAAGAGTGTGAATGGAGCTCCCCATTCTAGAAGAGTGTGAATGGAGTTCCACATTCTAGAAGAGTGTGAATGGAGCGCCACGTTCTAGGACAGTGTGAATGGGGCTCAGCATTCTAGCGCTGTGTGATTGGGGCACCACATTCTAGAGCAGTATGAATAGGGCTTAACGTTCTAGAGCATTGCTAATGGGGCTCAACATTCTAAAACAGTATGAATGGAGCTCAACATTCTAGAACAGTACTAACGGAGCTCAACTTTCTAGAACAGTGTGAATGGGGCTCAACATTCTAGAGCAGTGCGAATGGGGCTCAGCATTCTAGAACAGTGTGAATAGGGTTCAACATTCTAGAACAGTGTAAATGGGGCTCAACATTCTAGAACAGTGCGAACGGGGCTTAACATCCTAAAACAGGATGAATGGGGCTCAATATACTAGACCAGTGCAAATGGGCCTTAGCATTCTAAAACAGTGTGAAAAGAGAAGGGCATTCTAGAACAGTATATATAGGGGCACAACATTCTAGAACGGTGAATAGAGGAGAACGTTATAAAACAGTGTGAATTAAGCTGAATATTCTATAACAATGTGAATGGAGGGGAACAGTGTGAATGGGGAGAATATTCTAGAACAGTGTGAATGAAGGAGAACATTCTAGCGTAGTATAAATGAAGGATAACATCATAAAACAATGAATAGAGGAGAACCATGTGAATGGGGCAGAACATTGCAGAATGCTGTGAATGGAGGAGAATGTTCTAGAGCAGTATGAATGAAGGAGAACATCTTAGAACAACGAAATGGAGGAATACCATGAAAATGGGGCAGAACATTCTAGGACAGTGTAAATGGAGGAGAACAATGTGAAGGGGGCAGAACATCTTGGAACAGTGTGAATGGGGCAAACTTTCTTGTACAGTGTGGATGGAAAAGAACTCTACAGAACAGTATAAATGAAGAAGAACGTTCTAGAACCATATGAATGTGGCAAAACATTAGAATAGTGTTCAGGGAGGTGAACAATCTGAAAAAGTTTGTATGGAGAGCTTTCTAAAACAGTATGAATGGAGGAGTTTGGGCTCGTTGGTGTTTGTTGAGTCAGTGTGTTCTGGACTGAAAAAATAAAAGTGCCAGAAAGGGTCCTTTGGAGCAGTGCCACAGAAGAACCATTGAAGAACCATTTAATAGATGGGTCTTTAAAAAACACATGTTTAGAGACGTACAGATGAAGAACCCTTTTAAAGAACCCTTTACTTCTGATCCACCACATCATGTAAAGGTTTTACACCAATTATTTTTAACCCCAGAACCATACACTGAAGCCAAGAACCACTGAGGAACCTTTTATCTTTAAGAGTGTACCTCTGACCTGACTGTCCTCTCTGCCTGTTACAGTCTCTGCCCTGCACGTGTGGGATGTCCCACACCAGGACCATGATGCTGGATGGAACATACAGCGAGGCAGACACTAACAGCTTAGCCGGCTACACCGAGGCTCCCATGGTGCCTGAGGAGGAGCCGGAGAAACAGGAGCATATGGTGGTGCACCTGTCCGTCAGCAGTGAGTCCACGGCCACCAAGAAGAAGGGCATCCGCAACTTCAGCATCATCCAGAACACACATGTCATTGACAAGTACTCCCGCATGATCTTTCCTGGATCCTACATATTTTTTAACCTCATATACTGGTCAGTCTACTGCTGATCCCACATCCCGTCCAACACCTCCTGCAACCCGTTTGGACTTGAAGACTCGCTGACCTCATCTGGTCAGCTTCTTTTATGCTGACTTTTCAGTGCGCACAGGCACATTTGCCCACATGAGACTGAACTACAGCTGCCCTTGTGAGCTTTCACTGTGAAAACTGCGAAAAGGGGAATTTCAGTCAAACCTTCTGCATAATTCAGTGGTTGAGATGTAAACAGAGCCATTCAGAGTGGTTTGGTGTGAAACGGTTGATTGTAGACTCTTTTTCTTTACAGTGGTGGTGATAGGAACCAGGGGTTATGATGTCTACAAATGTAGCTAATTTGATTTATTTATTTATTTATTTAGCCAGGACCAATATCCACACCACCGCCCCCCTCTTTGGGGACACATGCACTCCACCCTCCTCTTTTTCTCTTCTTCAAAGCTGTTTGAGCACTGTGTGATACACCACAGGCAGTGATGTTGCTGTGTGCCCTGCCCACCCATAGACCAGCTCCCCAACCACCACCCCAAAAAGAAATAAGTAGCCATTTTATTTACTGTCCAAAACCACCTGTATTTACATGTATATTCTGATGTTACATATTATATGTAATGTTAATAAGGGCAAAATTGTGATATATAGTGAGTTTTTAAACACTGTGTCCACTCTATTAGACGCACCTGCGTTGTTGGTCCACCCTGTAGATGTAAAGCCAGAGACAATAGCTCATTTCTTGCTGTACAGTATGAGCTAATCATCCTCTGTTCCTTCATTGTTGGTCACAGGACGCTGTTGACTGGATATTTTTGGTTAATGGACTATTCTCAGTCCAGCAGTGACACTGAGGTGTTTAAAAACTCCAGCAGCATAATACCTGCTCTGTGAGGGTCTGTGGGAGCCCTGACCACTGAAGAACAGGGTAAAAGGGGGCTAACAAAGTATGCAGAGAAACAGATGGACTACAGTCTGTAACTGTAGAACTACAAAGTGCACCTATATAGTAAGTGGAGCTGATAAAATGGACAATGAGCATAGAAACAAGGAGGTGGTCATAATGTTATGCCTGATCGGTGTATGTTTTCACTCTTTCTGGACCTGGCTAACATCAGCTCATTCTCAGCAAAACGCTTATGTTCAGGCACTCATCTTTCAGAGTAGCAAAGTACCTGTTGTGTTTCACTGAACTGTTAGTCTCTTCATTCTCTGTCTTCCCACCATGAAATATAACAAATACCCAAATAGTGATTCCAGTTTTCAAATACTGGCACCTTGAATTGTAGTCAGTACTCGAGTCCCTGTGAGCACCACGATGATAAAAGACACTTAGTGCATATTTTACACAGTGATAGAAAGCCTGTTAGCGCACACAAGGCTTTAGTTCTACATGCCGAACTGGAAAAAACTGTAGTGTTGCCAACAGGAACGTGCATGCTGTGTAACTCCTCTGGCAGCACATAAACAATCAGCTTTCTTTTATGTTGGGCTCGGAACTGCACTCGTCGGATTCATGTGGTTCGAATATATTTTAGGCCAAAACCTTCTAAATATTCTTGTGAAACAATAACATCAAGCATAACCATTTCATGAGTAACTTTCTGGGAGCATTTAGAGGCATTAATCTCTTCAGACGTCTGGTTCCTATCACCAACACAGTGAACCATTCTGACTCCCTCAAACAGCACATTTCACCTCAAACCTCTCTGAATGGCTTTGTTTACATCTTATTTATTTAATCATGCAAAATGTTGACGAATCAGTGGAATTCTGCTTCAAGGAGTTAAAATCTCTTATTTATTAAAGCCTTGTGAGGTGGATAACTCATTGCTTGTGAGTAACTTATCAGATGTTGTTTGAGTGTATTTATTTACTCTGTGTAATCTATTGTTAGTATAAGATCTGTAAAAAAATAATAATAAAGAGCTGAGCTGTGGTTAGAATTTCTTGTTTAGTCTACTTACCTGCTGACAGATGGTTCAGATTTGCCTCAGTGGCAATTACAGCATTAAACTAACTGGATCACTGATGTACTCCATCGCGTTCCTGCTGAAGCAGACGGGAGCTCCTCTGTTGTATTTGGTGTCTTTATGTGTATTTATACGGCATACATTTCTTATTTGAGTGTTTGAAATAAATCTGATGGAAGGTTCCTCGCTCTGTTACTTAGCGACGTGCATGCCGGCAGAATACAGATTTTCTGTCAGCACATTTTCTCTCTCTATAAACTCGCTGATTTACTGTTACAGCTGATTTCAGAGCTTTTTCTTCCAGGCAGCACAAAACTGCATTTCATCCTTGGCGAGAAGTGCTTAACCTTTTCGGAAACACTTTAACCTGCCTTATGCACAGTTTCAAAGGGCGCATGTCCTGCATTTCTATTGCATTTTATTTTTCCTCCAAATTCCATTTAGTTTGTTTGGTTTTCTATTCCAAAAACAGGCATAATTCATTCTACATGATTCATTGTACATTTAGATAATTAATTTTACATGATCGTTTTTCAACCTTTATAAAATTGAACAGGCTGTTTGTGGGTTTGTGCCTTTGAGACTCATATATGTAAATAAGCTCTGTTCTGGGCGGAGCTATACTGTTGCAGGCTAAATATGCGGATATATGTAAATGTGCAGGTTCTAGTGACATCACAATAACAATGAATTTAAAACAGGCTGTTTTTGCAGCTCAGTCTCCATATATGGACTGTATGAGTGGAGGAGTGAAAGGTATGGTTTAGGGTACTGTTGATGTAAATCTTTGATCTTGCCAAGACAGAGTCAGGAGACCAGGGTTCGCAGAAAATACGATTTAATCGAAGAGAGCTCTGTCCATCTCTGCTAATATTCAGTCTGACACACAGCATTTATGCTTTGCCATTGACTCCACCCCCAGGACCCTTGGCACCGTCGTAAAACTGAAGTCAGTGTTCTCAGAGCCGTAGACCCTGTCTGACTCGGCTTTCTCAGGGAGTCTCACTCAGGGATCCCTTTGTACATACCTTAGTGTCGTAAACTGAGGGTTCTATCCCAGGAAGGCCTGATCCTCTTTAAGGGGGTTGTAAAGGCCATTTGTTCTTATTGTTCAAACCATGAGAACAGAGTGTAGTCGACTTCTTATAAGAACCCTTCAGCATTAATACTGCTTAACATTGAATAACAACTTAAAACAAAGGTAAAAAAAAAAAGTAAACTAGAAAATAAAACAATTCTCAACACTAGATCAAACTCTTTTTATTAAAAAAAAACAAACAAAAGAAAAAGGAGCATGCAGTTTTCCCTGATATGGGTCCTTTAACCCTTGTGTGGTGTTGATGTGTTTGTTACTCAGTGGTCATTATTGTTTTATTAAATCAATGCAGCCATAACAATTTATGTAAAAATACCAGATGTTTAAAATATTACAAGTGTCCAGCGTAGGGTTCTCCTTTAGCAGCTGTAGCCAGTCAGCAGCCTGTCCATGTTGTCCACTCTCACACACACACACACACACACACACACACTAACAGCAGGCCATGTAGGAGGAGAACAGAGTGAAGGACACAGCACCTCCACACTTTTATTCCCCACAGGTTCACCCAACAACACATGTGTAATATAATTGTGTGGGGGGTAAACAGAGTGAAGACACTGAAAATGGGCTGTTTTATATGTTCTTCACAGAAAATGAGCAAAGGCCAAGAAATCTGAGGCAGAAATAATAATAAATTGCATCATTGTTTCTTTTGGTAAACATTAAGAATGGGTCCCACAGACCTGAACACCACACAAGGGTTAAATGTTCAGTGACAGTTTCTGTTTTATTTATATTATCTGTCCTTGCTTGTGCTCAGAGTGCATGCAGTGGGTCGGCGATATGATAAATATGTCATACTTCAAGACATTTTCATGATACACAATGAGATTTGATGAGGTCTGAGGTGCCACTTTACCCTTCTGACACTGATACCTGCTGATCTGCTGATCCTGTGTACTGATACTAACTCTGTCCAACTTCTATCTAACTATATATCTTGATGAGTGCCTATAAATCATGTTATTTATATAATACCGCTTTTTGAATATTTTATTTTGGTACAAACAGTGTTCTGTGTCACAAATAAGACATACATTGGCAAGTACTAGTTGGATAACTTAATATTTGCATGGTTTCAGAGCTGGGAAATCTTTATTTGGGCCATTCTCCATTTAGAGTGGGAATTCAGGTGGATACTTTTTTAAAAAACTCAGTTTCTTTCATCCCAAAGCTAAAGCATCTTAATATGTCCATTAACATCTCATATTATAATATATGCAAATATGTGATAATATTCCAAACATATTATACAATTATACAATCACTGGTATGAATATGGTGTAACACCAGTGACGATGACTCCAGTGACATTCTGGTTAAAACTGAGGATTTTGTAAATTGGCTGACTCATTGCTGGTCAGGTGACCTTGTGCAACTGTTTAAAATCAGTAATAAAAATGATATTTGGCATTATTTTGACAAAATATTTAATTAACCAGCCATTAAAGCTCATAACACCAGTGATTCACAGAACTTATGTGCTGCCTGATAAACAAAATTATTAATAAATTAATGAAATATAGTGAGCGAGTGTGACTCGCCTTCTCATGCCTTGAGATGCTTCCTCTCTGATGAGCCTCGACCCAAAGAAGCAGTTTAATAGAGCTAAAATGTAGAGGGAGTTAAAATGTAAACTGAGTCCTGATAACACTGATAAGACTGTGTGACAAACAAATCTTTAAAATAAAATAATACATTTTAAATGTAGTGTAACGTTAATTTTATAAAAAGTAAACATGAATCTGTTTTATACAAATTATTAAGTTAACCCTCTTAAAATATTGATTTATATTAAAAATGGTTTCTCAAATGTTGAAAACTGGTTTTGTGACAAGCTGTTTTACAGACGCAGAGCGGCTATAAAACAGGATAAAAAAGAAAAATCAGAGAAATCATAGGAGAAACAATTTAATCTTAGGGTCGACTGTGTAAATGTACATACTGACTTTTGGAGCTGTGCCTAATATTTTAAGCATCTTTTTAAGCCCTGCAACCTCTGTGACATGGTTTCCCCTCCAAATGGAGAATGACCCATTTAACTTTAAATGCTTAATTAGATTTGATGTATTGAAGTCCTTGCTGGTCATGTGGCCCGCAGGTCAAAGGTATCCCACCCCCTCGCCCAACGAAAGAACAAAACTTATTGTTGTACTATCTTACTAAACTCTTATTCTCATTTC